CAGCGAGCGAACCCAACAATTTCCTTTATAGCACCACACCACAGGTGGACGTGAACTTTAACTGATACGAAATCTTTTTCTGCCTCACAGCTTTCCACAATACTATTCTGACAGGGCAACTTGAAGGCAGCACCGGTCCTTGCAGTACAGCATTCTAAAGATGACAATAACACTTACAGAAAGTGTTATTGAAGGTCTGCTTTTAGCTTGCTCCAGCAGCAAATGGCTATCATGGCTGCCAAACCTGTCGAATTGTTGCACATTGTTTGAGTCGTCATCCATCAATTTAGCTTCAGTGTGGCCTGTCGCTAAATTCATTCGCACATGCAGGCCAGCCGGTATGGCTTCCCCTAAAAAGACAGGCAAGTTTGCTCAGAGGGAACAAGATGCACATAAGCATGTTGTGCAGTACAGACAACAAAACACCTAACACAGTGGTACACCCATATCTCAGCATTTATCTCTAAAATAAAGGATGAGGTGGTATCAGTAAATATTAGAGGTCAGTTGCTATGATGTCTGACATCATAACTTTGTAATGGTGTAAGCCAAGCAAAGTATTTTGATGGCAGCAGTATGCTGTCGACTGATATCCCTCAATTTCTGTAAACATTTAGCCTGAGAGACAAAATGAGGAGCTGAAAATTAGTAATTACATAATTCTTTTAGTGAGCATCAATATGTGACTAATAATGGCCAGTGAAAAGGTTTGTCACCTTGTGCTCCCTAGTGAATGACCGTGCTGAGCAACCATCTGCTGTACTGTCACAATGAAAAGACTAATGTCACAGCACAAGCCCTATTGACACAAAATAGGTGGTCTCAGCAGTTGCATACATTCACCTGGCTTAACGTTTTTCCATTCCTTTTCAGCTTGAAGATGTTTTGTAGGTTTTTTTTTAAGGTTTGCTATTTTCTTCCTCACTCTTCTTATGAGATGCTTTCTGTTCAACAACTACAGAGACTGCCTGTTGTTGGCAGTGTGCACTCACTGCCAAGACAACTATAGCTGCAGCAAAACATAGTGGTCTTCCATGGAACATACTGGTTCTCTCTTGGTGCCTCCGTTGTAGTAGTGCTGTCCCTGAAGATATGTGAATGACGTCATGAGCACAATGTTCTTCTCAGATGGCATATTTCAGGGCTCAAATGGGCCATTCAATGCTTTGAGCATGGTCAGAAAATGTGGCCGATCGGTAGTCAAGAATTCAGAGAACATGTGAGCCAAATTTTACAGGGCAGTACACAGCTTGGAATTTGCAATTCTCAAAGTCAGCTAGAAATTGCTTTTTTTTTTCTTTTGACAAATGATGCCATCAACCCAAATGACTGCATCAAAAACCCAAAATGCACGGTCATTGCCTGATTTGAGCATCGTGCACTGCATAGTTACCGCAACCATTGCAAGATGGCACGACATGTCAAAGCATGTGCTTGCGATCACACTTTCCTTGTGCCATCCCAACCAGCTTAGCTTCCAGCACACTCATCAGGACAAAAGACGAGAGAAAGCGCTTGCAGCGTGCGACAACTCTCTCGCTCCTTTCATACTTGATGGATTTGAAAAATTTTCACAGCAATCAATTGACGAGGCAAAAAACTTAATGAAATAATTTGATAAATACTTGGAAAAGTGTTGCAAGACACCTATGAAGTTGGTAGGGTGTAATTGTCATATAAAATAGTCGCATGTACTACGAGTGGTGCAGCCAGTAATTTTTTGTCAGAGGGGCACGTTCTTGCTGCAACTGAGAGGGCTGAGCAGACAAATGTTTCTGATTGTGATTTATCTAAGGAGTGTTATAGTAGACAGAAACTCGCAAAGGAGTATATGCCATCCCCTGGCTAGGCCACTAACTACCATGATAATGTGCTACAGTAATAAGTATCAACAATAAAGCTCAAGGAACATGAAGAACACTTTAACTTCAATTAAATTAAATCTACAGATTTTCTTACAGAAGCACCACAGCGATACTAATGTGAAGAATCACAGCATAGGATGCACAGGACATAATATGAAACCAAAAAATATATTTATATTTAATTTTATTAGTGAACAAAAGCTCACACACTTCAGGATAAGATCTTTATGTTTTGTAGTTTAAACATACTATGTAACAATAAAAATCATTTGGACTCAACACAGAAAACCGGCTTAAGTTCAAGCAGGGCTCGAAGTGGGCCCTACTAAAACTACCCACTTCCTATTTTTGTCAAAAGTATCGACTCTCTTTGGTTGGAGACAAGTTCACAGATAATAAATGGGCTTTGTACTACTGATATGAGCAATGAAGCAGGTAAAGATGTGTGTAGATAATGTAGAAGCTGCAGAAACCTCACTTGATTCATGTGGCATCATGTGACTAAATAAATAAATATGAGACATTCCCCTACCCCTATCTTCTTCTTTCAGAGAAAAACTTGCATAAAATGAAGGTCTGCACTAACTAAACTTTTACGGTCCTGATGAAAACCCCGTGCAGACAAATCCTTCATTTCCTTGTTCACACTCTACGTAAAGCATTAATACTTCCTGTGCAAACTCTCTTGGAGTAACTACTGCAAGTACATTTTTAATGTACCCACTACACCATAAATTGTCATAATCTTGCAAAGTATTTGAGCACCCGCTGTGCCCTTATCCATCATTTTGTGGAGACGTGGCATAGGCACTACACATCTGTAAAGCATTGTGTAAACTTTATGTTGATGCTGGGGTTCATGACGATGAAGAATTGTGGCTGAGCCCTGGATATGAAGCATTAAACTATCCACTCAATATGCAATTCACACTGTTTAACGCCTGGTTGGTATTTCACTCTTCTACCACACTGTGTGACATCTGTTACCCGATTCCTTGACTGGAGTGACGCCGCTGTATGGTCTTTTTGCAAGAGAGTTTCCTGCACCAGCTTAACTCTGTGGCAGAATACTTATTTTTCGTGCAGAGGACCTAGATTCAAAACCTGTTTGACCCTGGAGTATTACATTTTGTTTCGTCGTCGTGCACGGTAGCAGTTATCGACGCTGGTCGTGGCAGCGCTAAACCACCCGCCAAAGCGGGCTGATGCGAATTCATAGCTTCCACTGCTGCAAGACTTTGATGCACTGAAATTGATATCACTAATTGACAGAAACTCTGTAGTTATAATTTACTTATGGTATTAGTCATAAGACAGGACAATTATTGGCATGAAAATTTTTTAGAAGCACCCAAGTACACTCGTAACATTTTCAATCTAATCACTGAACTTGAAGGCTTCTATTCAGGCGACATCGAAAATGAGCGCTTCGGGTGGCCTATGAAATGGTGCCGGTGTGTTACGTGAGACTGGAACTTCACATGGCAAACTTTGACCAAAGAGGCATCGCTGGAGAATGTTTTCAGCAATAAAAAAAAAGCCAAGTTGTCTGAAGTTTTCAAGTTGACCGCTTACTCATATCGTGCAATGTTCCAATTGCTTATATGGTTCTTTCGTGCTGTGCGCAAACACATCCCCTTCTTACATTTTTTTTCGTGCAGCGAAGCTATGTATGTGAACCGTGTAAATTGACCGTGTGCATCAATAGCATGGCTTATGGAAAGGCAGGAATCCGATAACAAGGGAGGGAAATAGAGTAATGTGGTGAAACTTATGTAAAGGCGGGTGGTTCACCCAGAGAGGGTGCAGCTGCTGTCCCTGAAATGACAGAAATGATATTTAGGAAGAACAGGAACGAGCCTAGGGTAATCAAACTTCCTGCTGTGCGAGTGCTGTGCAAGTTCACGTTGAATCACATGCACAATTTTTTTTAGCGCAAAAGTGGCAAGCAACATCATCTTCAGGAAAAGAAGAACAGAGTGCACAGGGCAAGCTAAATTATGATGTTTTAGTTGGAGAGTTTCAGGCAACCCACGTCGACCACAGCCATCGACTGAATCTAAACGACTGACTTTAAATGAAGAAACAATAAAGAAATGACTTAGATTGAGCAAAACCAAAGAATAAACTTGAAGGGACCGAGTAAAATTTGTAATGGCATTGCGAATATTTAACTGTTGAGGTTGAACATCCCAAAATCACCATATGATTATGAGAGACGCCGCATTGAAGGGCTTCGAAAATTTCGACCGCTTGGGGGGTTCTTTAACGTGAACCAAAATATAAGCACGTGGGCCTCAAGCATTTTCACCTTCTTCGATATTACGGCCGAGATTCGAAGGCCGGGATTCGATCCCGCGACCTTTGGGTCCGCAGTCGAGCACCCCAGCCATAGACGACCACTACCGAGGAGAGTGCCACAGCTTCGCCTACCAACGGTATTTCTACAGGCGGGGAAGCTACGACACTTTTCCCACTGTGCAGGGTAAAACTAGGATTGTGGCGCCTCTTCTTGCAGGCAAACGAAACCATTTTTCGTGCGCGTTAAAGGAAGGCTTTAAAAAATGAAATAAAAGATTTGTATCTTTCTAAATTAGTTCTACCACCACTGGAAGTGAATATTTTTTGCGTGTGTGTGTGTGTGCATATATATATATATATATATATATATATATATATATATATATATATGAATGAGATATAACAGACAGTAATGCCAAGGAATGTACAGGGGAAGTTATTAAAACCAATGGAATGTAAATAAGAAGAAAGAAAAGTGGATGAAAAAATTACCAACTGTGAGCAGGAATCGAACCTACGACCTTCGAATTACGCGTTATTATTATTTATATATATATATATATATATATATATATATATATATATATATATATATAAGGGAAAGAAGTGTATATCTAAGGGCTCGTTTTTCCATGTTTTGACACAATATTAACCCTTTCGGCCCTGGAATTTTTTCGTCACACCTGCAATTTTTTCGGTGTGATATTCTGCTTCTTTAGGCCATAAAACAGTGGTGTTTATTTAAAAAATTTGCGCGGTTAGCTTAACTTTAAGTTTGGAACCATGTCCTTAAATGAGGACATCAGGGCCCAATGGGTGCAGTCGAGGCAAAAGTGAATGTTAGTGTAACGGTTTATTTTCCATTTTATACACCTACTTTGGTGCAGTAAAATAGTTTCTAGCAACGCGTGTAATGTTCAGTGACGGACATAAAATTCTTTGAAGCAGTTTCTCCCATTTATGAGGCAGAGGTGGACATTGCACTTTTCACACTTGATTCTTGGCTTGCCCTTGCAGCCTTCCAGCATGCAGCGCTGTTGTTCTTCTTTCGCAACAAGCCAGTGACCGGTTTGGTCATACCTGACATCTTCCACTGGCCTTCGATTGCCACACTGAAGCTTTTTCAATGCCTGAATCGGGGAAGAAGACGGTCTCCCACGCTTTCGCGACGCAACAGCCACACCAGCTTTTGCTAGGGCATCCATAACTTGCAGCATGAAATCTAGAAGGTCCATCTGATCGTTCACGCGTAGTCCTTGTTGCTCAGCATCGCGTCGATATTCCAGCCAGGAGTTCGTCACAGCCAAGTTTATGAAGTGTGCAATAACGCGAAGTGTCCATTTTCTAGAACGAATGTTGATGCAGTATAGTGACACAAGAAAGTCGGTCTTGTCAACTCCTCCCATGCTCTGATTGCATTCTTGCACTACAGCAGGCCGTTTCACTTCAATGAAAGCACCATCTGTCTTACTCTATCGGGAGACACAATCTTCTTCTTCAACAGCTAGGAAGTTTGATGCCATGTTCACCGCGCGGTTATCCAACCACCGCGTTATGGCAATCTTTCCATCACTGCTTACTAAAGTGTCATGGGAGCCTCTTCCAGCTTTTTTCAATTCTTTCTCCGATTTCAGTAAACACTTTTGCATCCTGTTGATGCGTATAGTGCCGGCAGCATATATCTTCTTCTTGTCGAGTTCTCGAATCACAGGCAGAGATGTAAAGAAATTGTCAAAAAACATTTTGTGTCCAAGTCCATCCGGAATCCTTGACGTGAAGTGAAGAACCAAAGCACCCGTGACGCCAAATTCCTTCTTTTGGTCTGGATTCAGGCATGTCGTTGAACCTTGGTAAATAAGAAAATCGTATATGATGCCGGAAGCTCCGCACAACATATACACCTTGACGCCCCACGGCTTTGGTTTACCCTTGACGTATTGTTTTATGTCGAGTTTACCTTTGAATGGTATGATCTGCGCGTCAATGCATAATCGTTCCTCCAACGTAATATTGTGGCACCTTTCTTTGAAGTAAGTCAGCAGCGGTCTCACTTTCCAAAGGCGGTCACTGGAATTATTCTCTTTGGTCACGTCGACAATGTGGAGGCAGTTGCGCAGTTTTTCAAAGCGGTTCCTTGACATATCCGCCATCGCGAACATTTCTGTTTTCAGAACAGGCTTCCAGTATAAACGCAGACGGGGGTATTTGAAAACGCCCATCAGCAAATGCAGAGACATAAGTTTCCTTATTTCTTCTTCATTTGTTAGGACCGATCTGCCTTCTTTGAATACATGTTCGTTTTGTCAGCCAGTTCAACAAAAACGCTCTTGGGCACGTAACGTGAGAAATATTCGTATGGCGTTGGCAGCTCACCTTGAAGAGGTTCATTTTCATCGCAAACTCCCCTGAAATCGGCTGACGGCTTCTGAAAAGCTTTCCGGCACCACGATGTTTCTTGACATGCCTGTTCCTCGTCTGACTCGTCCGACTCATCTGACGCTTCCCGCGTTTCAAGGACGCCGTCATTGCTCCCAGTCTCTTCAAAAACGAAGTCATCGTCTTCCTCATCTTCAGTGTCGCCGACATCCGATAGGTTGCCATTGTCCAACTGAGCGAACATTTCATCCGCGTCTTCGAGCGGCACGAATCGGGCCCTACGGGCTCTCGTTGCTGAGTAGAAGAATTGAGGTTTCATTCCGGCACCTGAAAAATAAGCAAAAGCAGCTGTACGGCCACGAGACGCCACACCATCACCTGCGAAACGTGGCAACCCCCGAGCCCTCGTGTACTCAAATGAGGACAAATGCTCTTATGCACGCGATCACTGAAATACGCAATTGCCGAGAATGTCTTGGGTGATTACATCTTCTATATAGAGTTAAAAACTTTGTGCTAAATTCTTATCGCGACAACAACAGTGGTTTACGGGTAAAAAAATACAAAAATCCGCACTTACTTGGCCCAGCGCCCCGTTCGTCGTCTTCCATCTTTGTTGTTTCTCGCTGCTGCTCTGACGAACGTGAGGGCGCGAGTACTGATGTCAATGCCACTGGAGATGTTTTGCGAGCGATACAATTTCGGTTTCAGTTTCGTTTTTCTTGTTAAAAGAGCCAGAAACACCTTTTTAGGACTTGTCCTCGTTTCAGGACACCAGGGCCCAAAGGGTTAATGAGATCCAACAGACAATAATGCCAGTGAATGTATTAGGGAAGTTATTAGAACCAATGTAAAGTAAATAAAAAGAAAGAAAAGTGGGTGAAAAAATAACTTGCCGTGAGCAGGAATCGAATCACCACCATGCCTATATATATATATATATAAAAACACAGGAACGTGGAGCTTTTCTTTGTTGTAATGTGGCCATGTACCACGGCGTAGGTGGTCTGCTTGTAAATAGTGTAATCGGTACTGGCTCAGCTTTCACTGTAAAACATCATTTTGTGAGTTGGCATGTTGATGAGGCTTGGGCAGTGTCAGAAGCTTGAGTAAATATTGTGTGTCTGAACAAATACTCTCATACTCCACTGCCTGAGGTAAGGAACTGCATTAGAACAGCATATGTAGCAAAGATTTCTGCATTCAAAACGACTGGGTCTGTCGCAGCTTTGATATATTTAAAAAGAATATGCGAAAGTAAGTTTTTAACATGCATATGTAACAGCCACATTGCACGGCAGGTGAAGTATGAGTGGTTGTTCAATCATTGCGGTTTTGTCCTAGATACACTATTGCCTCAATCCAGAACAACAGTCAGCCAAAAGAGGCATGCATGTGCGAAGAATGCCCCAACAGTGACCACGGTGATGCTAGCAACAGATTTCATGCTTGTATGAAACCACGATTGGAATTTCATGACCAAAAGAGCATTGAAGGACCCTGCCAACGGCAAGCTATTTACAAATACTTTACTGCTGGTCGTACGCAGACTCAGAGCTTCGATGCAGGAAATTCATTTTAAATGTGAAACAGCATTCGACAAGGACTTATTTCAGGCTTTAGTATAAATATGCCTGAAAAAAAAACTGCAAATGGAGGAATACTAATGCCTTTCCATTGACAACTACCACAAATAGTCTCAATTTCTAAGATGAATAGCCCATATTAAAAATAAAACCATGAAAGTTTTGTTTTGGTGCCTTCTTCTATCAACCACGAAATATTTCTTTTCCTTCGATTTCAAAACTGCCTTTGAGACTCGCTCAAAAATGTTGCCTTTCCCTGTACCTACTCCTAATGTGGAATGCCGGGCAAACATTGCGTGAAACGTCGCTGCGCAGCAGGAGACACAGAGAGCACATTTCCGGAGTTGCAGTTTAAAATAATTAAAAAAAAAAATATCTGAGAGCAATGAGTTTTGCATAGTCAACACTTGCAGCGTGCTGCAAAAACACGAAGTAGCTGCGGTCATAGTAGTTAGTTCGTGCTTGTTCCGCATATACTTTTGCATTCTTTTCAAGCAGTGTTCCTTTTGTTTGAGCAGTGAGCTGCAACTGTCGACCTGAGACAGTTAGTTCGCACTTGTCCTGCGTGCGTTCTTTTCGCACATCCCTTGGGCTTGAGTAGCTTACTGCAAGTACGAGCTGCCTGGAATTCTTCGCATGATATTCTAATTTCTTGCTACTGCATTCACATTTTTTGCTCAAGTGGCAAAACTATGACTCGTTTGTTTCGATGTGTGAATCCATATCACTTTTTTATTGCGATTGCAATTATATAGACAGTCTCGGCTGGTTTTTTGCCGCCGCCACCGCCGTCGTCATTCACTGTACATGTATGCGTATTTATATATATGAAAAATCGAGAAAGAAAAAAAAGCTACCTGCCCTCGGCCCCCAGCTTGTCACAATGGGCCAACACGCGCTTATCTTGCACGGGTAATTTGCTTCGCTAATGGAGGGGGGTTAGATGCTTGTGCGCAAGCGGTTATCCTTTGGTGGGGAGAATCGTGTGCCTTCGGCTTTCACTGGAACGATTGCGTTAGTTGCCGGGCCCACGAAGGTCACTTTGCTTGCTGCACAAGGCCCGTTTGCAAAATGAGTGCGCTTTTCATACACAGCGAAGTGAAGTATATAACAACTGGGACACTTGTTAGTTTGGACTCATCTGTACTTGTGATTACGTTTTGTGTGTTGTTTTTGTTTAAACAGCACGTTAAAAGTTGGGCGGTAAACATTGTTAGTTCGCTTTCGTCCTGTGTATGTTGTTTTCGTGCACCATTTGTGCGTGAATACCGTGCTGCACGTTTCAATCTTCTTGCCTTATTCAGCATTACATTTTAAGTCCTTGCTATGCATTCATTGCTTCACCCTAGCAGCAAAACTGTGACTTCTTTTCATCACATGACTGGGAATGCATCTGTTTGTTGAAATTAGCTTTCATCAATGTATGGGTGCAGCACTGTCTAGGCAGTTTAGTTTTTTCCACGCATGTACACATATACTGATGCGATACACTTACAGACAAAATAACAGGGCCAGACATAAGCCGCTGTGAAGTTATACTGCTAATAACACGAGACATCGCCTACAAAAGGGCTCACATGTGAGCAAAATATAGTAAAAAAAGTTACTACTCTGTTTTCTGCATTCAGTATGCAAGGAGAAACAGAAGCAAAGAAAACTGAAAGGTGTGTTTGAAAGCACAAGTGGAGATATGACAGCACTTTTTTTCGCACTCAGTGGCAATACAGCATCAAGAACAATAGGAAACACCTCTGCAATTCTAAAACAGAGCAATCAGTCACAGGTGTCAATAATGCACTCAAAGAGTTTCTGAGCATAAACACCTCAGTTGACTTAGAGGCACACTTTGGATCTAGGCAGACATTATCACAGTCAAAGTTTCCACCACCACCTCACTGTCAAGAGGCCACGTCACAATTCATCCTTCTGCTTCTTCTGTAAAGTGTCCAGGAGTTGTGACACAGAGTGAAGCAGTCCCTCATAGTAGTCAGCTGCTTGGTCTGTATCCTCTGTTGAGTGTTCTCGGTGTGCTTGCCTCTGATAGTTACTGAGTAGTTCTTGCAGTGCCGGCCCGTGTTTCTGGAACTCTTCTAGACACACCTCTGCAAGGGCTGCCATGGCCTGCACCACCTTCTCCTGGGCATCAACATCTGAGCTCTGTAAAAGCTGCGGCACCAAACTGCAAAACCCATGTAGTTGGATGCTCTGCGTCAGCCTGCAAGTAAATGTACAAAGGCTCAGCAGGAGAATGCCACTACGGCAGATTTTTCAACTACATGAGAACACTGGACACTGTGTCTTCCAAGTTATCCTTAATGCTATGTTGGGGTATATTATATCTTCGTCTAAACAGGGGCAAGACCAGCAGGCAGCACACAGTGGTTAAGTGCAACACATGTTTATTCGGTCAGACAACCAACTGTCTAACACCCCGGAAGGAAAATGGGCGATTGCTTATATACATGCTCGAGCCACTATCACACCGAGCATTGACGTCACTAAGCCCAACAGTCCGAGTCCGGGTCACCGCTGATATCGAAGCACGTCTGCGTCAGCGCCACGATGCACAAACAAGATAACACAACAGGGTAGATAAAATGCTCTTTAACTCGAGAATTAGCCATCTAAATTTTGACTTCAGTAGAGTATAGCAAGATATGTTACATCACTCATCAGAAGAAAATAAATCTAGAGCAAAAGTATTCGTGAGTTTTATCACGAAAACTGACCAGACGACTAGGTTAACTGGAAAATAACTGGACTGTCTTCTGCCTTGCACCGAGGATGGGGTAAGAGGACACAGATAGGTAAGCTGACGAAAATCCTACCAACAACCACATAATTTTGGATGTTTTATGAAATAAGGTTCAAACTTATCAGCAGCAATAAGTTCTCAGAAGACTGATTGTGGTTTGCAAAGCATATGGCAAGTGTTATAAAATGTGAGCTAGGCTGGAACAGATCATAAACTTCTTGCCATAGTTGTCACAATTAATGAAGACAAAGAAAGTGATCAGCAGGGCAGAATACTTGGACCTAAAAAAACTGGTATCTGTGTAGTTCAATGCATAGCTTCGAGCACAATGCGATGTGTAGTGTAGAGATTCTGGGAAAAAGAAGGAAAGTCTGCTTTTCACTCTAGTAAATACAGAAAGCGGTGTAGTTGACACGAGATACCTAAAGGCTGGTTTTAGTCACAAGATTCCCAGTAAATGAACATGCCTCTCTCGTTGATTGCCTCCATTTCTGAAACTGTGCAAGCAAAAAGTTGTTGATGAAGAAACTTCCACAAAAGTACATCGTTACTCTATTAAATAATGTTGCCCAGCTTGAAAACAAACATTGTCCAAGTGCTCACTTCCACCTGCCTTCCATAAACAGATGCATGCCATGGTAACAGTTATGTGTAAAGCGCACCAATAATTTGCAATGGCGGTGGTACCACTACTACAGTTTGTCCTGCAAGCAATGTCACATAAAAATGAGGTAGATTTCTCAGCATGTGAAACTAGTATGCGATTGCACAAAAGTGATTTGCTCAATCAATGCTTCTGCAGTTATTCACTACCATCTGCTGCGAGATCAAGTGAAGTTACTGCCAGGTGGCTGTGCCTGAACCACACTGAACCTACTAGCTGAACCTCAAATGTTTTTGGCTCAAAAGGTGATTTCCTAGAGGCCCAAGGTTGCCAAAGCATTTTTCTGTGAGGCATTCCATGCTGTACGAAAACATAACCATGGAACAAACTCTATATTTCCGAATCAGCATCCTAACTCTAAATTCCCTTTAGAAATAATCCATATATGAGATACTGGAATAACAAGAGCTTTCTTCAAATCAAATGGCAACATTAGCGAATTTCTATTCAAACTTGCTCCCCCTCCACCCCTCGCTGCCAGCTGCTTCCCTGTCCTGTACCATGTGGGTGAAATTTTGTGACTGCGGCACACAAGCTGAGGCGAGTTTAAGACCCCTGGCTTAAATTAATGATACTGTATGCAATCAATCTTAGAATAGCAGGAGTTCCACTTGGAACATAAACTTTTATGTGATAGCAATAATATCAACACTCTCGACACGTTTTTGCCGCCATCATTGCTTTGCCACTGCCATCACCTTCTGTATAACATCCTAATCGAGAAGATTGATAGCATGTTCTACCAGCTAGTAAAAAGCAAACGAGTGCTGGTGACAAACATGACTGAAACAGTGGTTAAACAAGCTGTCCATCGCACAGAGGACCCATGAGATAACATCACCCGTATGCTAAGCCTGCCGTTGATGGCTCCTGAAGCAGAATAAAAAGGCTCTGCACTAGTCTTTCATTGGGTACAGTAGCAAGAGTGGACGACAGAGGGAAGGCTGCATCGCTCAAGCAGTGACTGCATTTTGGTCATGAAGACACAGTAACTAGCGCCACCTCGGCAGACGCCAGTGAATGGTCGCTTACTTTGTGTTGAGGTGACAGACAGAAAGAAACCTGTTTCGCTTCATGGAGCAGTTGTATTTCCTTACACCACTATTTTGTAGGATTATGCAAAATCGGATCCAAAATAGTTAGCTGCTAGCCTTACTTCATGTAACATTACAATTTGTTGCTATAAGATTCACTGATTATTCTTTGCAACGAAACTGTCACTTTTTATTGTGGAACTTTGTGATAATAATGAGAAAACTTACTCTGAGTCAGTTGGCTGGCCAGATTCATGTCTCAAGTGCTGGAAAAGATTAAAAAAGAAAGACAGCAACAAAACATGTCAGCTAAAATAACAAGGGTCAACAAACCTTCCTTTTTTTTCCCTCATAAACAAAACTTTCTTAGCTAAATAAAACAAAACTATAGTCACAAACAGACTCTGCCTACTCAAGAGGTTTGGGAATGGTTTGGTAACTGCAAACAAACAAGCATAGCACATCTATCACATATTGTTGATCATGTGTGCAAAGTATAAAATGTCTATGGCTACTTGGAATGAAAATGTTTGAAATTTTAATAGAAAGCAGTGCACCCATTCTCTCGAGAAAGTTATAATCCAAGTGAGCCAAGTCTGCACACACTAATGCCTCTGTTCAAATAAAAAAGAGAATGAAAAAAAAGCCGTGAGGCTCACTATGTGAACACAACGTGAACCATCAGTTTCAGTGTGATAGAGAACGCAGGAATAAAACACCACTGCAGAGACTAGCCAAGATAAATAGGGTAAGAGTCTGTATTCACAGTGAAACTCAACTTCAGATTGCCCTTATAGTTCAATTTTTCTAAGTCATTCAATAATAGGTCAATTTGAAAAAACGTCGTCTAAAGTGTTCTCTAGATGGTGCCTTGCAACTTTAACATACAGCCGAAACTCATCATGGGGCCTGGTGACGAGAAAGAATGCTTTGTCTATCTGCACTTGTGTACATAGCATTGCCCTAGAGTATTTTTACAGTCATCCACCATTTACGGATTAAGCATTAGCCTTGTGTTGCAATGACAGTGACTCTGTTTATGAGAATTATATACTGCATTTTTAACAGCTCTTTGCCACATGCTTTCTGCATAGAGATGTTTTATGAAACTTATGACTAATGAGCAACCATGCACAATGTATCAGTTTCATGTCATTAATGTGATGGAAAATTTATGGCACATGGAGCTTTGAATGCTCATTCGTACTTGCATGCTCTTTCTAATTTTTCCCACCAAGAGAGTAGTCTCCTTTGTAAATGATGTTTCGCTCTCCAAAGGCCCTTCATATTAACTCCTAAATTTGGCACAACACCTTTAAGTGCCTAAAATTTGCTAAAACCTGGTTTGTGGTGAAAGTTTTTTACATTTCAGAGCAGCCATTAATGGCAATGATGAAAAAGGCAGGAAAAAAGAAAGATAGATATTGCTGTCGAATGTGATCCACAAACACGAAGCTGTCAATGGCATTTGAGATGGAGGCCACTGCGTGAGCTGTCATGTTGGCTGAGAAGTGTGGCATCATTCATGGACAAACACTCGTGAAGATATGTTCATATTCACAACACTTCATTCTACTAGCAGTGGGCAGATCACGGTCTAAAACCGGCAACATTCGTTGGCAATGCCAAGTACAATGCCTTGGAGCGAAAGCACAGCAGAATCACGATCACTCGGAATGTCTTAACTGAAACCGATGAATAATTTAAACGGTTTCGCTTGGCTGAGCAATGCTATATATTATGTAGTACTTGAACAAGAGAAAACTCCTTTGAGTATGAATGGAGTATGAATTATAAAAACTGAAACTTTGGAAAAAAAATTGGTACATTTTTGGTGCATTTTTGATGTTAAGACATTCATAAACTGTGTGAAATGACCAGGACATGAGTAAGAAAACACACAGAACAGCACGAGCACAGACTTCGATATCTTGACTATCCTTCTGACGTGGCCCAAATATGGAACCAGACGGCCAAAGAGTACTTGAACTTGTGGAGAAAATATCCTGCCCTAGTCATTTTATTCAGTTTAATAAGGACTTTTAACAGCAATAAACCAATTAACCCACCAAAATGTTTTACTGCCTTTTCGGAAAAAAAGATAAAGCTGCATCACGTTGCTTCTTGCACTGCTGTATCTCTGAGACTATGAAATAATTCAACTTCTTACACTACAAACGCAGGCAGTCAGTGCACAGACAGCTATCAGACAGTTCGGCTAGCCTGACTTTTGTACCAACTGTGCATTTCTCTCTGTCCTCCTTGTTGTTAAGGTCGACGTTTGAGCGAAGCAGAACGGGGTGTTTGAGGTTCTCCAAGGAAGTTGCCCAAAGGATGCGGGCCTACTGATAGCCATTCAAATTTGGGTAATGTCCTTTTAGCAGGGAAGCCAGGTGCATGCAGTCACGCCACAAAGTGTACAACAAGATGGCTGAAATGATTTCAGTCGCAACAGCATTCTTGAAGAAATGGCGGCATCAGCATGGATGACGATGATCCCCATGAAATCAGTATGGCGAGCGCAGGTCCTTTGATGCTCCCAGTGGTACGGCGGTAGTACGAGCGAGGGACCCAGCACCCAGCAGTATTCTCACCACAAGGAAGAGACAACTTGGCGCAGGAGGGAAAGTGTGATGGCCACGTCCCCGTGAAATACGTAGACCAAGGCGGGTGTAGGCGGCACCATCGAAAGTGGTGTCACTGATGTGTGTCCGGAGGTTGGACAGAGAAGTTTAAAGCCATTCGGCCATTTAAGGGGGAATGAAAAAAGGACTCTTGATAACCAGCCGCAGTAGGCTCCTGAGAGAGCCTTCGACGAGATTGTCACGATTTAGGACGACATCTTCGTCTAGATGTTCGTCATGTGGCAAGAAATGCTCGCTTGTAAATAATGTAAAATAAACCTCTGTACAGTTTTCCTCATCAGTCTCTTCAAGCTCAGTGTCTTCACCCCGAGCCCCCAGTGCTGGTAATGGCAGAATTCCAACAACTCAACAACGAATAGCAGCGTTGGGATCCTGACAACCCCCAACTCAACAACTGGATGGCAGCGGTGGGATGCTGCTGACAATCAGGACTAACAAATGGTGATCAGGAGCTGGATTGAACCTGGCGATATGACACTGCAGTTGCGGGTGACCATTTGGTTATTGCATTGAGATTTGCCAGGCTTTTCAAATTTCGGGTTAACAATTTGAATTCCTTGAAAGTAAGAAATGTTTTGATGCAAAGTTCAGTTTTTTTTAGCATCATTTAGAGGACAAAGCCAAAATTAAAAGCAGTAACCATGGACCTAATGAAGTTTTGGAAGGCAGAATTTTTTCTGTTTTGTGAGGAATTGGAACTGGAGTGCGAGAAAAAATTGAAAAAGCGTGATCTAACGGAAAATGAAATTGAAGTGGTAGTAGTGCAAAAGGCATCGCAATTGCCTGGCAACTTGTTCAGAAGACTCCGAAAGAAGAGAAAAGTAAGCGAGTTTACGAAAAAGAGAAAGAGTAAATGGAAATCAAGACGTTAGAGCTCGAAATTGAGCAACTGCGTATAGCAGTTCAAGGGGGAGTAAATGGCACTCATGATGACAGTGAGATACCTGTAAAATTTCCTCTAGAAACAAAGGAGCAATAGGCTGTGAGTTATGAGAACTTGTTAGAAAAAGAAGCATGTCTCTACAAGCAGATTAATACAGTCAAACACGGATATATCGAACTCGAAGGGGATCCCAAATTAGTTCGATATATGAAAAATTCAATATAAAAAAAGTTGAGGCCCCGAGAGCTTACCTGTAGCGGATCATCATCTACAATAGGCGCATTCAAGAATGACAACTGATTCCGCACACACACCGTAACAGAATGATTTATTTGCGTGAAAACAATTGCTAATCTTGGCCTGCTTCTTCGTTTTTTAAATGTTGAAGACTCTAGTCTCGATCTAATCACGGCTGTCCAGGTGTGACAGCCCGGTTTCCTCTAGGTGGACGATACAACGGCGATTGATGCCGAACGCTATCGCCACTTCAGCAGACAAGTATGTGCGTGTAACCCGCACCTCGTCCGGACGATCCTCCTCATTACATGAGATGTCGGCCTCTGTCGACCGCTGTTGTCGGTGAAGTTGTTTCACAGAGTGCAGCGGCAAACCATTTGGCCTTGGCAATCAGCATCGGTCTATCCACCGGAATATACTTCGCGTGCCGTTCTAAAACCAGGAAAGAGTGCCTTTTCTACATTTCCATGGGCAGAAGCGCGCACATGACAGGCTCTCAACATTCGCTGCTCCGCCTCCTTTGGCTTGATATCTGCCTTGCTTTTTAACAAGAGACTCGGAGTGCTCCGTGGTATTCCGAAGTCGCCCGCGACGGTCGAACATTTGTCATTCGTATCAACATGCTGAATAGCCTTTAACTTCGACGCAAAGTTGATCGATTGATATGTGGGGTTTAACGTCCCAAAACCACTAATGATTATTAAAGTCAAGGGTTTTGCGCTTCTTGACGCTTGCCATGGCTACACGAGACATTGACAATTCAAGGAGTCTGCAGCGGCTTTGCACACTACCCATGCAAAAGAGAAATGCTGCACATGCGGTGGTACGTAGGCGACGCGACATCGTTACAGAAGCAACAAAGCACTCGCAAAGCAATGGCTACCTGCGAGTGCAACAGCAAAAAACGCTAGCCAATCTGTGGTTGGCGGATCAAATCTCGTAAAACAAAAGAAAAGGCAAAAAGAGGAGGATGTCGGCTTCTTTGTTCCTGCTCTCCGAGTCGACGGGTACACAGAGAAAGCATGAAAGAGAGAAAAATTTTTAAAAAGCCGTTCCGTAAGTCGGAGATTGTGCAGTCTGAGCCCACTAGCCCTTACCTTTTTTAGAGCGTTTCGGGTTTTGGCGGAGGCATGGTGCCATGCGGAGGTCGCTGGGCGCTACGAGTGGCAAAGCGCGCCTTCCAACGCAAGCCACAGAGATGGCGGGGGGGGGGGGGGGGGGGGGGGGGCGAGGGTCGAAGCACATTTTCCAGCTTTCGCGGCGTTCGATATATCCGAAGGTGGGTAAAAATACCATTCGATATAAACGTGCGAATTTCTATACATTTACAAAGGAATTTTAAAGGGATAACTTCCGAATTTGATATATGTGGGTTCAATATAACCATGTTCGACTGTATAGAGCATGTTGATTGATTGATTGATTGATTTGTGGGGTTTAACATCCCAAAACTACCATATGATTATGAGAGACGCCGTAGTGGAGGGCTCCGGAAATTTTG